AAAGCACACATGAATACGATCAGAATAAAGTAGCACTACAGGAAAATAACCTTTTTGTAGCGATTATTTTAACCTTTAGTATCGATTGTAATTGCAACAAAAAACTTTCCCAACGAATGGTCATTCGATACAATATCCCCCGTTGCCTTAGCCTTTAGTAGTGGTTTTCAATATCGCTAGGGTTGGCCTCAATAATCAATACGAAAAACTACATCCAATCGTGGTGATTATTGTAGCGATTACAATCGCTATAAATGTTTATCTCATTTTCTTAAAAAAAAAAAAAAAAAAAAAAAAAAACATGTGTATGATCTTTACAAGATTCAAACATGCAACCTCAAACTCTTATATTAAATGTTTCACCAATAAGCTATGACATATTTTATGTATTCTTTGTCAAACAATATTTATATATCTAGTGTTGAAAAGGCTTTTCGTATCGATTTTTAGGATTTAGTGGCGATTGTAAATGATACGATTTCTCAAAATTATATAAATGTGTAAATATAGTGTGGATATGTATTATTATGTTTTCCGTATTGATTTTTTATGGGAAAACCATGGCGATTGTAAAATGCTACGACTTCCTTAATTATTTCAAAAACATACTTGCATATTGTAGCGAATGTACAATCGCTACAAAATAATCGCTACGAAAAGACATTTTTCTTGTAGTGTAGAGGCCTATTATTAGGGCAGGTTCAATCTCTTTTAGGTTGGATTTGTACCTTCATCCCCGAACCCTATTTTGGTTCAAGACCTTATGGAGTTGACGATTTCTTAGATCGTAAGGGGTGTAACCTTCACCCTGTGAACGGTTTACAAGTTCCTAAAAAAACTTGTTGGCGACTCTTTTGCTCTATCTTCTTCCCTTTTGGACGCCACCGTACTTTAGTGTATGATCACAGTGGGGTTCAAGCTAGGAGATTAACACTTGAAATATCCCCTACAGTTTTTGGCGACTCCACTGGGGAGGATTTCTATTTTAATTCCTGAATTTGTTTCGGCAATGATTTAGAATGAGTGGATGAGACTCGAAACGTTCTAAGTATTTCGTGTGCGTAATTTTGATTAACATTATTGTCATATGCATAAAAAAGATCTCATTGGAAAGACCATCCGTAATGAATTAAAACATAGGATTTTACACGTAGGAAATTTGAGAAATATCTTTCATAACTAGGACCGAAATAACACTGCGCAAAACTGGAAAATTTTATCGATCACTGAAAGCTGCTGAGGCATGTAGGAATTAGCGTCAGCGACCAGAGCATTGGCGCCAGACATTTAACTGTAGCGCCAGACGACAGGCTTGTCGCCAGGCGCTACAGCTAAAACCTGGCGCCAAGCTCTGTTTGCTGGCGCCAAATTCTTCCAATACCGAGCCAGAAATATGCGTTCTAATTTCGACTAGTTTTTCGCATTGTTTGCTCGATCCTACTTCCTGATTGAGTTTTTCTCACTTTTCTAAAACCCACATGTGTTCTACATATGAACATAACCCTCTGGGAATTCATGCTCCATCTACCTGATTGAACGCTCTGAGCAACAAAGGATACATCCGAGATCGTTGATTTCACCAAACCATGGAAGTGAGTTTTTCTAAAACTCGCGGTGTCCCATCTACTCGCGCCAACCCTTCACGGTTAGGCTTCCGCGCGGTGCATCCTGACAATTAACCATGGACCCTCTATTGACTAAACCATATCTCGAACTTTAGAGAACTAGAGCCATGGTTAGGTTGCAAACTCATTGCATCATATTGTGCCTACTTGACTAATTGTGCATTATTTGTTGTGCATATGATATATGTTTTCCTTAACCGTTTGTTTGACTTGTGTTGAAATTAAGTGAATTAATGACTTAAAGAACTTTGCCTAATTAATTAATTGATTAATTAATTTGAGTAAATAAAGTCTAATATTTTAATCAGAATTGACCTTGTACGACTTTAGGCATGCCCCTGTTGATTAATAACACCGAAAACAGTCTCAGATTGAAGCTCCAGCATTGGCGCCAAAGTCTGAACTGTAGCGCCACTCTGTGGAGTGTGGCGCTTGGCGACAGCTCTGTCGTCTGGCGCTACACTACACAATGCGACGCCAGTCCTGTCGTTTTGGCGACAGTTCGGTTTATTGCTCGAGTCATCACCTTGTGTCTAATTAAACAGTTTGCTAATTAATTCTGATTAATCATACCTTGTTAAGTCATTAATTGAGTCTAGACACTAAGTCACATAGTCTAGCCACATGGTCATGACACGAGTCTTAATGTACCACCTACACTCACTATTCTTAGCACACACTTCGAGTATATATCACCATGACCATGTCTTAGGTTCATGCATGAGTCGGTCTTTTCCGTCATTTGAGTTGGGGGGGTACACTCTATTCCTAATTTTTCATATCTCTCCGTCTACATCATCTTTATCATATCACAATATCCATTCTTCCCACCTTCTTCCATCCATGCTTGTTGAATCGAGTTTGAGCCATGTGATTGACAATAATAAAAAAAATGAGGGTAATGATGAAACAAATGCATAAGGCAAGCTTCAACGACGATATTTCGTGACCTCTTTTTTCTATTTCTTTTTCATTTTTTTTCCTTTCCCCAATGAGTCTAGCATAGGCACCTTTCTTTTCCCTTAGATTAATTTTGTAGATTCTTTCTTTTTCCCTTTTTAATAAAATGAGCATTTATCATAGTGGAAGATGGTCATAAAGTGGAAGGGGATGATTTCAAGCGAAGTTATCTTCGATAGTATTCCCTTGGACGTGGAATATTATCATAGTGGAAGAGGATTGTTCCAAGTGAAGCAATCTTCGATAGTATTCCCTTGGACGTGGAATATTGTCAAAGCAAAGAGGATTGTTTCAAGCGAATCAATCTTCGATAGTATTCCCTTGGACGTGGAATATTATCAAAGCGGAGGAGGGGCGTTTCAGGCGAAGCAATCTTCAATATTGGAAGCAGTTACAAGCGTAGCGATTTTCAAGCGGGATGACATTCTCTTAGTAGGATGTCATCAAAACAGTAAAGCGGCAGAAAATCGGTTACTTCAGAGACGTGTGCTCGACGGTGCAAGATACGCGTCTCTTAACTCTTTTATCTGATTAACTAACGATAGTTTTGCAGGTATTGGCGTTACAAGAGTGATTTAGGATCGCAGAACGTTCTAAATCATTCTCCGTCCCTATCGATACTTTGACTTTTGTTTTCGAAACTTGCGTTTCTCCAAACTCAGTTAAAGTGGGGGCTTCTGTAGACACCCATTTGTGTCTCCCCAAAACCAAACCCAGTGATGAGTACCTCTCACGTCGAATCATAATCGAATGAAGCGAAAGTGTGGAAAGTTTAGTGTTGCGGAAAGTATTAATTTCTTTTCTCTTCTCTCTGTTTTTGAAAACTTATTTTAATAAAACATCCAATCCAGTTTGGGTGGTCCATGATATGGGTCCAATAGTAGTGAAGTTGGATGGGGCTTGAAAAGACCTTTCCAACGATATATTATAAGCCCAATTCCGATGAATATTGAGGAAGTTATGACCAAATTACTGAACTGGGCCCGGTTTGAGCCTCATATGCTGCCCAGTGATCTAGGGGAGGGTCTAATATGATTTATCATTCCTAATGCAATTAGGAATGGTTTTAGTCTTCTAGATTCTTCTAGAAGGTTCTTTTTATTCCTAATTCAATTAGCATTGATAAATTGACTTTTGTTGACTTTTCAGAGTTTTAATTAAAATCAAAGAACATATTTTGAGGGAAATACGATTTTATCTTCCTGTACGGCAATTTTTATCTGATTTTAAGAAAACGCGTGAATTTCCAGATCAGCGCCAAACACCAGCTGTAGCGCCTGGCGCTAGCATTGGCGTCTGGCGCTAGCATTGGCGCCTGGCGCTAATGTTGGCGTCTGGCGCCAATAGCCAGAGTTGGCGCTAATCAGATTTTATTTGCCCAAACTCTGTTTTGATATTTTATCTTTTTCGATGATTTTCTTTATAAATAACGACGTAAAAACTTCGTTTTAATCATCAACATTCATCATCAATAATCAATTCTCATCAATTCTTATTCTCTGTATTATCATCAACTCTCATCAAGATTCTCTTGATTACTCTCTCTCTCTTTTTCTAAACTAGTTTTCTCTCAAATACAAAATTCTGCACTCATTAGATCTAGAAAAACCTAGCCATATTCGAAGTTGCCTTCGCCCTAGACGTGAAAGGTTTTAATTTATGAGGGTTTATCCCTAATCTCTCTTTCCATTATTTAATTTAATTGTTTTAATTATTATTTTCCTTGAAGTTACTAATGTGTGTATTTTGTTATTAGAAAGAGGTACGAGGCATCCAAGTAAGTACTTTAATGGTTTAATTGATATTATGAAGTAGAAATTATGCTTAGATTGTTATTTTAATTCCTAGTATCATGTCTAGGATAAATTTAATATCAAGTATGATTAAAAGTATGATGCATTTTATGTTCTTCCTAATATTTATGATTGTTAGTATCATGTTAGGGTTAAAGATTTGATTTTTATTGTTTAGTGACATGCTAGGGTTTGTTATTAATCTTGTTAGTATCATGTCTAGGATCTTGCTATTATTATGCTTTAACATGAACATGTTTATTTCTATGATTATGATAATTGTTATAATTATTTTGATGATGATTATTTTATTATTATGATTATAATTATTATGGTTATTATTATGTTGCTTGATATTTATTGTCATTGCTTGATCACACCTTTTATGCATGTTTAAAGGGAATTTGGTACTTGTAATCATGCTTTAATAAGATAATTAATAATCTTGTTAGGGTTGATTTGATTATAATTCAAGTGATCGCCAATAATAGATTTATTTGTGCATTAAATTCAACCAACATAGATAAACAGGTTTAGGGTAAACCTACTGATTACATGTTAGTAACTGTTTGGACTAGTTTCTACAAGGGTTTCTTTATCTAAGAAATAGAAATTGGGCCAAACAAGGGTTTTTTAAAAAACAGAAACACTTTCTCAAGAAGCCCAAAACAGCTTCTAGAGTGGGCAAAATGAGAAGCACCAATTTTGAGCTTCTCTACATCAGTTTCTCGGGGAGCTATTTTCCCATTTAATGAAACTTTTTGTTGGCCAAAAATATCCTTAATATTTCACAAAAAGACCTCTTATATCCCATTAAAAAAAAAAAACCCCTCTTCTCTTTTCTCCTCTCTCACAAACATCAGCTCTTTCTCTCTCTTGAAACACAAACCCCTCAACCCTTAAGGCCAAAAATCATCACCGATGACATGCAATCTGGTCCTCCTAGACCACCGGCGCCACCATTTCGTCCACCCAAGAGGACACAACCAAGCAATAATAAGGTATTAATTTTTTTACTTATGGAAATTTCTTCTCTTTTGTGAGTAGAACTCTAATTTCTTTGCATTGATTTTGAAATAGGAGAAAGATATAAATCTCAGTGGTTCTCCTCATCCAAATCATCCCAATATGTCAGAACAAGAAGTTCTGCCAATGAGGTTAGTGAAGTGGTCCAGAATTTAGATCTTGAAATTTTCAATTTTGATTCAATTTAGGCGTTTCATTTCAAATTATGTATTTCAATTCTGGAAATTGAAATCCATGCTTTCAATTCCAATTTACTTGTTTGGGAAAACAAAACTTTTAAATCCATAATTTCAAAGTATCCATGGTGTTTGGCAATACTTAGGAACTTTAATAACAAATTAATTAATTTAACTAATAATCAGTATACAAAAATGAAACTAGTTTGGGTAGTTTCAAAAAAAAAAAAAAAATTTGAGTTGGATGAACTAGGATTAATATGACAAGTGTTTGGGTAGTTCCGTAGAGAATTTCAAATGACATGGTTTTGTTGGATGATTGATTCAAATCAATTATGGCTAGTTATTAGGATTAGTTGTTACGTGTATTTAGTCATCAATAAAGGATAAATTAATTAGGAGTATGTTGTTAGTGGGAGGTTAGGTAGGCTATGTTTATGCATTCTAAATTATGTAATGTATCCGTTTATGCAAGTGTGTGGAATGTGACCATCATTTTATTTTGGTTTCTCTAAAACTATTTTCTCTTCTTTATTTCTTTTTTTAGCTTCAACAGGTTTGACTAATTATTTCAATTTCTTTGTTTTATGAAGTTTTCTTAATTGTTTTAGAATTTTAAATAAAACTCTTGTATCCAAACAGAGCATTATTCGAATTGAATTCTTTCATTTTCAAATTGCTTGTATTGGTACCAAATTACTTTTGATGGTGATAGTGGAATGGTTGATATGATGTCTAAGTTAAATTATTGTTTTATGAGAAATGCTTGTATGTTGTAAGGTTTGTCAATATAATGCTAGTAGAATTTATAAAGCGTGACATTGGGAGGCAGATTACATTGTTATGTTGTGTGTATGGTTGGTGAAGCTTATGCGTAATGCACAACATTTCATGGTTTTTCTTGTCTTTAGATTAACGAACAAGTAAAGAGGTCAAAAGCAACTTGGTCTGATGAAACAACTAAGATTTTTTGTGAGGTTTGTGCTGAAGAGGTCCATGCAGGGAATAGACCACACATTCATTTTAGCAAAATTTGTTGGAATAATGTTGTTATAAAGTTTCAACAAAGGTCCGTTAAAATGTATGACCAGAAACAATTAAAAAACAAGTGGGAGAAATTAAAAACGAAGTACACTACATGGAAGAATCTCATAGAAAGGAGACAGGGTTAGGATGGGATCATGAGAAAAATGCAATTGTTGCATCCGATCAGTGGTGGGCACTTAAAGAACAGGTGAGCAAAACAATAATCTGATTTCTACATTGCCTTTCTCAAGTAGTTAGTCGTAACTAATTACATTTATTTATTTGTATAGGCCAGTCCGGGTGTTGCTAAATTTCGTGAAGCTGGAACCCAAAATTTAACAGAGTTAGAGATCATGTTTGCTAAAATAATCGTTTCTGCTACAACTTCATGGAACCCTTATTCACAAGATGATACTGAAATAGAAGACTCGTCTACCATAGGAAACGAAGAAATAGAAGATGAGGAGCAAGTGGATATTACTATGGATGGTAGTATCAATGAAACAATATCTCAACAACTTGAAAGTGAAAGCATTGACAAGACCAAAGTCAATACAACATCGGAAGAAAGAGGAAAAAAAACACAAAAAGGAAAGAAATCTAAAGTTAGCACAGCTAAGCTCATGCAAAATGAGCTAAAACGTATTGTTGGTGCGATAGAGAATTTTTCTCAATCTAGTGCTACTATAACTTCAAAAAGAACTGACCTTCCTCGTTGTAGCATTGGAGAGTCTCTAACATTGCTTGCTACAACACCAGGGGTTGAAATAGGAAGTGAGCTTTATATGTTAGGAACTCGTTTATTTGTGAAACGAGAATATAGAGAGATGTTTGTTGGTATTCCTGATGAAAATATAACGGAGTGTTTGGCTTGAGAAAGAATTGGAAAGGGAGAAAAAAAGTCTTCTCAACGTTATTTTTTTTTTATTTGTTATGAAACATTGTATTTATGCTTTTATTGCTACTCTCTTTAATTACCGTGTTGTAACAGACTAACTTTCTTATTTATGTCAGTTATTTTGATTTTCTTAGTATTTGTTATATATTATTATCATTATACTTTCTTGAGTAATATTAGCTTTTTATAGTTGCTTTGTTATATAAGGTTTAATTTAAAGTAAACAATTTTAATTGGTTCCTTGTTTTTTTAATTAGATTAGTTCAAATGGAAGTGCTTATGATGATGTAATGGATGAATCCTCCTCCTCCGAAGAAGACGATGAAGAGTTAGTACTTCAAGAACAACTGAGGGGTAAACAAATGATGTTATATGTTGCCATAGGTGTAACGATACTTACCAAATACTATCTTAAATATTTAATTAAACAAGCTACTAGGATTTCGTTATGTTCTGGATGGAAATGGTTGCAAGAGGTTTTATCTATATCAGGTGAAAGTTATAGGATATTAAGAATGGAACCCCATGTGTTTTATAGTCTTGCAAAATTATTAGTGGATAAATATGGATTAAAGTCAACTAGAACCATGCCTGCTGAAGAAGCACTCAGAATATTCATATATTTATGTGCACAATTTCAATCTAATCGTAATACGCAAAATCGCTTTAAACATTCTGGTGAAACGATAAGTAGAAAATTCAATGAAGTTCTTGAAGCAATGAGAAGATTTTCTAAAGATATTGTAAGACCTTCTGATCCAAACTTCAAGGAGGTTCCAACCAAGATACGAAATAATTATAAATATTGGCCACATTTCAAGGATTGTATTGGTGCCATTGACGGAACTCATATTCCATGTGTTGTTTCGGAGGAGGATAAAATCCCTTACATAGGGCGCAAAGGTATCCCTACACAAAATGTGTTAGCAATTTGTGACTTTGACATGTTATTACATATTTTGTTGCTAGATGGCCGGGATCTGTTCATGATAATCGAATCATAAAGGATGCAATGGAAGACCCCAAGAAATATTTCCCTCATCCACCCGAAGGTGTATATTTATGAAACTATTATGTGTATAATCGTTACCATTATTATATACTATGGTGTGATTATCTAATATTATACAATGTACAGGAAAATATTACGTTGTTGACGCGGGTTATCCGAATATGAAAGGATTTTTGGCTCCTTTCAAAGGTGAACGATACCATGTTCCTGATTTTCGTCATTCAACACAACCTCCAAATGGTTTATATGAAGTTTTTAATTATTCACATTCGTCGTTGAGAAACGTTATAGAGAGAACATTTGGTGTCTGGAAAAAAAGATGGAGGATATTATCAATTATGCCCAGCTTTCCATTGGAAACTCAAAAGAAACTTGTTGCAGCTACTATGGCTATGCATAACTGTATAAGAAGACACGCGCTTGAAGATTGGGAATTTGATAAATGTAATGCAGATCCTTATTATATACCTGAAGTTGAAGGGGATGTGGATATTGGAGGCAACCCGGTAACTACTCTTGAAGAACATGATGGATCAATGGATGATTTTAGTATGGAGTCTATTCGCTACAATATTGCAACTTCTCTAATGAGTCGTTGATTGTAACATTATTGGATCTTTTATTAGGAATAATTATATTAGACATTATGTTTGTAATTATGAACGTATGAAACTTTAGGATATGAATTATTAATATGAAATTTAAAAATCTAAGTATTTAGACTTATGAATTGTTCAAAATTTTAAATTAAAATTTTATCTTACAAGCAATTATAAACAATTTGCTAACCAAAAATTAAAAAAAATATAATGAAGAAATAAAATAAAAAAAAACCTACTATTAACAATAATGTACAAGAAATTAATACTAGTTTATTCTCCCAAATAATTTTTTTTTAAAAAATAAACTAATATGGGCCAAACAAGGTAAAATAGTTTTTCAATCTAAGAATCACTTCTGATTTTTTATGGGCCAAACAAATTTGTTTCTTACAAGTGTTTCCCTAGAAATAGTTTCTGGAAAACTACTTCTGGGAAACAGAAGTTGTTTTTCAGAAGCTTGGCCAAACAAACCCTATTCAGAAAGCGCACATGAATACGATCAGAATAAAGTAGAGGCCTATTATTAGGGCAGGTTCAATCTCTTTTAGGTTGGATTTGTACCTTCATCCCCGAACCCTATTTTGGTTCAAGACCTTATGGAGTTGACGATCTCTTGGATCGTTAAGGGGTGTAACCTTCACCCTGTGAACGGTTTACAAGTTCCTAAAAAACTTTTTGGCGACTTTTTTGCTCTATCTTCTTCCCTTTTGGACGCCACCGTACTATAGTGTATGATCACAGTGGAGTTCAAGCTAGGAGATTAACGCTTGAAATATTCCCTAGACTAAGTCTTGTAAAAATACCCTAGACACGTGGACCAATGAGAGGAGGCCACATGGTGAGTTCAGGATGGCCCAAGTGGCCCAATACCCTCTTGACACGTGGCCCTCTTGGACAAGCCTCTGAAATGGCGGCCTTCAAGGGCCTAAATCCCTAGGAGCGCCGTAAAGAGGCGTAGCCCACTAAAATCTAGGTCAAGTGACCTAGATAGGGGCACATTCTCCAAAGACCCTATAAATAGGGAGATATTTCCCCATTTTGGAGACACGTTCAATCATTTATTACACCTACATTCTCTCTCATCAGAGAAACACCTGATCTTGGAATCCAAGCAGATCCCCACCTAAATTTACGTACTCTTTATTCCCTTTCAAGTTACTAACTTGATATTCGGAGGCAGAGCTCCAACCATCCGGAGTTTCCGTTGTTTTGTAGGTACATCTCAGCCGGACCAATCTTTGTGACGTAACTCTCCCGAGGGACAAAATCACCCAAACATTTGGCGCCATCTGTGGGGAGAGTACCTCGAAGATGGTTCAAGAGTCTGTACCACCCCTAAGCGTCTAGGCGACGACCCAGAAGTTTTCACTGATCAAGAGGACGAAGATCCTCAGGTTGAAACTTATATAGCCGATGATGGCTCTCTGATAACCAAGCGCATCCAGCCCAGAGACACTCTTGAGCGGGGTGCTAGCCAGGCGGGTACAAATCGACCCCCTGGGTAGCCGGAAGGGGAAACCCATACGACAAGTGGATCAGCTCCCGTCACCCGAGACAAACTCATGAAGTTCATGACAAGTTTCAAGGGTGAAATCAAAGAACTGATATCTAAGAGCCGGGCTGGCCCGAGTAGGGGTCAGGCGGTAAAAAAGACTCCTCTGGAGAAGGGGAAGTCAGTCAGAGATCGGCAGCCAACTCCTCATCCAAAGGAGAAGGCAGCCGGGACCATTGATTGGTCCAAAATTCTACTGCCTAAGAGGAATGCCAACAACCCTCGCCGGACTCAACAGCCGGTGGGAAGTAAAAAACAACTCATGATGCCCGAGAGATCATCACCCGCAAGAGGAACCAGCAGTTGTCTGAGTCGGCTTCTACATCGAACTTTCCAGACAACTTCAACAACACCTCTGCAGGGAATGCACTTTCCTTGCATGAGAGCCAGACAGGCGGTAATACCGTCCACTCTGGCCCTAAGATGATTGGGACTGTACCGTATGTACCTTCTCAGGCCTATGGGCAGTATCCTCCTTATTTTATGCAGCCAGCCCTCTTTGGAGGACAGGCGGCGTACAACAACGTCCAACCTTTAGACTGGCAGCTTCGTCTGCTCCGCCTGGGTGAACAACCTTCTGCTTTCACCCAGGAGATAACCGAGGCGGCACAGCCGTCCAAGGTTAAAAATGTGTTGGTAGGTACCTATGATGGTACCACCAACCCGGAAGATCACCTCATGGCATACACCAACCTCATGTACTTGCAAGGGTTGGATGATGCCACTTGGTGTCGATGCATCCCGGCTACATTGAAGGGCATTGCCCAACAATGGTTTGGCAACCTGCCAGCCGGGTCCATTGATAATTTCAAGAAGCTTGCCTTCCTGTTTGCTTCCAACTTCTCAATGAACATCCCTGCGAAGAAAACAAGTCTTGACTTGAGCACCATTAAGTAGGGGGAGAGAGAAGGACTGCGCTCCTATGTCAGGCGGTTCAATCTGATCAGAATCCAGATCCAAGGACTGTATGACGAGGTGGATTTTACAGAATTCTTCAAGGGTCTGAGAGACGGGTCGACTTTTAAGTTCAACCTAGTCAGAAAAGGAGCTTTCACTTTACAGGCGGCCCTGAGGGAGGCGGAAAGCTATATTCAAGCAACCGACCTCTGCTCGCATGGTAACCAGTCGGACTCTAAGAAGTCTGACAAGCAGAAAGACAGCCGGCCTGCTCAGCCGGCCAAGAAGAAAGAAGAGAGCAAGAAAAGAAAAGAAATCTGGGCGGTTAGTGATTCTGACCAACCGTCTCAGAAGAAGAAGAAAGAATTTAAACTGTACGTCCCTAAGTACGAGTTTAACAAGGACTGAAACTCCATCCTCATGGAGATAAAGGAATGGTTGTCCCTAGAGAAGCCGAATCCAATGAAAAGTTCCATTCAATCAAGGAACAAAAATAAATTCTGCCAATACCATGAGGAAGTTGGCCATGACACCAACGACTGCTTCAGCCTTCAACGGGCGTTGGACCGTCTGGCTGACAAAGGGATGTTAAAGTCCTATACCTCCATGTACAAAGGGTCTAATAAGAAGAACCCAGGGCAGTCGCCTAAGACACCCCAGCCTGCTAGTAGTTCGGACACTAATAAGGAGCAAGTCTACACCATAGCAGGCGGGTTCTCATGCGGTGGCCCTACCATCCGGGGCACCAAGTCCATCTTCGAAAGATGGACAAAGATGATGACGAGCAGGCGTCTGCCAACTCCTCCTTCCCAGACGTTTTAATCACTGAGAAGGACAGGGGCAGCGTTCGTCGTCCGCATGACGACCCGGTCGTCATTGAATGTAAGGTTGCCAACCAGCTGGTTGGACGAATCCTTATTTACACCGGCAGCTCAACAGACATCATCAGTCTCCGGTGCCTGCAAAAGCTGAAATACAACGTCAGCAGCATGCATCCGGTTACCCACCCCTTGGTTGGCTTTGGGGGTGGGATGGTTTACCTAGTCGGAAGGGTTGATTTACCAATCCGGCTAGGTGAGAAAGGAAAAGGACAACACTTGGTCGTCAAGTTCTTGGTCGTTGAGGAGTTGACCGCCTATAACATTATTCTAGGCCGGCCCACCCTCAACGAAGCCAAGGCTGTATCATCCCTTCTCTCATGCTCATCAAGTATGAGAAGGATGACGGTTCTGTTGGTTCCTTGAATGGGGATCAGAAGACGGCCCGGGAGTGCTACCTCTCAGCCGTCAAGGATACTATGGCTCCAGATAGCCAAGGGCAGGAACCAATAGACCTTAACAATGTCAAGGATGTCAACCCAGCCCCAGTCCCATCATCAGCCGGAAAGAAAAGAAAGGCACCGCTGCTGGCGGAGGTGAAAAAAGAGAAAAAATAGCAATCACTGACCGGGGAGCGGTCAGCGGAGCTCCGTCCCCAACCTGCTGGAGACCATATTGACATACCTCTGGACGACAGTCGTCCGGAGCGTACGGTTAAGGTTGGGACGGCTGCTCATGCTAAATTGGGTGCAGATCTGCACCTCCTGCTGCAGGAATTCGAAGACATTTTTGCCTTTGAGGTGGAAGAGATGCCAGGCGTAAGCCCGGATCTTGATGTCCACAAACTCTCCGTGGATCCTAAAAAGAAGCCCATCCGACAAAAGAAAATAAATCACGGCGAGGAAATAAGTCAGGCGGCAGCTGCCGAAGTAAAAAAGCTTTTGGACGCTGGGTTCATTCGGCCATGTTATTTCCCCGACTGGGTGGCGAATGTTGTGCTTGTAAAGAAGCCGAATGGTACCTAGCGTATGTGTGTTGATTACACAGACCTCAACAAGGCATGTCCTAAAGACAGTTACCCACTTCTAAAGATCGACAGTCTGGTCGATTCGACAGTCGGGCATGCCTTGATGAGTTTCATGGACGCCTACTCTAGATTCCATCAGATACCCCTGTGGAAGAAAGATCAAGAGAGGATGACCTTCATCACTGATCAGGGGTTATTCTGTTACACTGTGATGTCGTTTGGCTTGAAAAATGCGCCGACTACATTCCAACGGATGATTAATACGGTCTTCATTAATCAAATTGGGAGGAATGTGGAGGCGTACATTGATGACATGATAGTCAAATCCAAGCAGCAGGCGGATCACCTTGCTGATCTCTGAGAAACCTTCACCACACTCAGGCGACATAAGGTTATGTTAAATCCTAAGAAATGCGTCTTTGGTGTTGAGTCTGGGAAGTTTCTCGGATTCCTGATTGATCAAAGGGGATAGAGGCTAACCCCGAGAAGATACAGGCGGTAATTGACATGAAGTCACCCCTCACTGTCAAGGAAGCGCAAAGACTAACCGGTTTCCTAGCGGCCTTGGGGAGGTTCCTCAGCCGGTCAGGTGACAAATGCCTTTACTTCTTCCAAGAAATCAGGAAGAAGACTAGATTTGAATAGGGGGATGATGCTGAGGCGGCCTTTCAAAAGCTGAAAGAGCACCTGCACTCTTTGCCAAGGCTTGTTATCCCTCTGCGCAACGAGTCGTTATACATGTCCCTAGTCGTCTCAAATC